TGGTGCAGGTGGCGCCGATGGGCTAGTCTCGATTCGTGCGGACGACGACGACGACGTGCCGGCGTGGATTCGTGCGCGCGGGGATTACGACGACGATGCGCTGGCGTCGGCAGCACCACGCGGTGATGACGCCGTGGCGGCGCCTTGGTGGGAGGAACGCGATACCGGGGATGAGGAGCAAGCCCACGCCGAGGGGCTTGTCGAGCACGACCAAGACGAGGGGCACGCCGCACTCGACCAAGACGTAAACCCCGCTGCTCAAGCGCAGGACGAGGATGTCGCGGACTACGGGCATGCAGACCCAGACGAGATGCCCCTCCCAGCGTTCGGCCCTCTTCCCCCTCTTTCTGCCGTAGCGGTGTACCACGAGCAAGCCGAGGGTGCCCAAGGCGAAAAGCGTGAATCAGGAATGGAAGAGGAGGCGGAAGACACGGACCCGGCGGAGATGCCCCTCCCGGTGTTCGCGCTGCCTGCGCCGTCGCTCAGGATATCGACGTCCGCGCCGCTCCTCCTCCCGCTCCGTGCAGAGCACACACGCGAGGCTACGAGCGCAGAACACTCGCCCCTCCTCGCCCCGCCCGCGCGCGAGAAGGACCTGGGCTCGCCCGCGACGCCCGAGTCTCCGCCAGCGGCTGCACTTCCCGCTTCGCCGTCCCCCGCCACGGTATCGGCATACGCACAAGACCACGACGTGCACTCGGAGGAATCCGACGCGGAAGAAGAAGAAACGGACCTCGGCCTGGCGCTCGTGCTCACGGGACCCGCGTGGGCGCAGCGCGCGGCCGCCGCGCCCGCGCTCGGGCTGAGCGCGCAGCCTGGGTGGGACGGCGAGCGTGAAGGCGCGGCGGTTCCGGGGGCGTTCCCCGGCGCGTCGTCGTCCGTGTCGGCCTCGGCTGGGGAGTCGTCCGCGCTAAAGTCGCCTCCCACGCAGCAGCAGGTCACGAAGCGCGCTTCCCCTGCAGGCGGGCGCACGCAGCGCTCGCCTTTGGACGTGGCGCTCGCGATGCAGCTAAGGCCCGGGATGGGCGTGGGCGCGGAGGGCGCGTGGCTCGTGAGGTTCTTGATGAGCTTCTTTGGGTGGTTTGCGGTGCTCGTGGCGGGGGGGAGGGAGTTTTCGTGAGTTGCCCCCCCCCGGTCGTTTTCCGCCCGCCCGGTTCCTCCTTTTTCCATCCTTCTTCCCGTGCCCACCCTCTATCTTCCCGGAATATTTCGACACTCATGATCATGATTTCACTTTTCTCTCTTTTTCTCTCTCTCATTTTTTCGTCTTCCCTCACGTCAATACATGCCTCCCTCGCATCATACAAACAACCCTCCCATCCGCACGCACGCACATACTTGTATTACTTATCATCATCATCGCACGCACGCACGCAACGCATATTTAGACCTTACATAGCACGTACATACATCGGATTATTTTTTTGGATTTCTTTCTTTCTTTTTTTAAAATATAATCGTGTTTTTCGTGGATTTATAATAAGTAGTAATGCCTTTCGTTCGTTTCGTTCCTTGAAGCTGTTTGAAAAATTGACTTGGTAAGCGCGGGTGCAGATAAATTGATTGCTTACCTCGGCCTCACAGTGCCTGTTGCCAAAAGGAAAATTGCATGCTGTGCACTCCATGCTATCGATAATTTATTGCATGCGCTATTCTTACTCACAGCTGTGCGCCTCCTCGATGAGCGGTTTGATGCGCTTGATAAATTGATCGCTTACCTCCGGCTTTGATGCGCACCACAGTGCCATCATTCCACCCGTTGCCAGAAGAAAATTCAAAATTGCATGCTGTACCTCTACTGCTATCGTATCAACCACAGCTGTGCGCCTTTTTGGAAATTGCACAGAGAGAAGAGCCTAAAAAAGCTGTGGTGCACAGGATCAGATTATCCACTCTGATCCGTCGGATCCGAGTTAACCCCTAAGCTGTTCATACATACTTAAACAGTGCGGACTGCCCAGGATCCAGGAGTCGACCATGCTCATCCCATTCATCTCCACACCGCGTCGCTTGGGCCGCAGGAAGGGCGGAGGCAAGACCGGCGGTTCCACTGGCGGCTCTTCGAGTGGCGGCAAAGGTAGTTCCGGTTCCACTGGCACTGGTAGTTCCAGCTCGGGCGGCAAGGGCAGTAGCTCCGGCTCGGGGTCGAGCTCGAGCAGCGGAAGGGGCTCGTCATCCAGCAGCGGGAAGAGCTCGCCGATCAAGTTTGGCGGGGGCTCGTCGAGGTCCTCGCGTAATTATGGCAGGGGCGGCGGGAGGCCCTCCACGATCCCCGCAGGGAGTTTGTTCGCTGGGAGGTCCCAAGGTATTTTGTTCATTCCAATTTAGCACAGATTTCTGACTACCATTCGTCGGCAGGTGGCGGGACGAGGGCACAGGTGTTTGGAACTCGGTAGGCCGCATCATCCCTTCGCACGCTTGGGAATATCGTCCTCATAAAAACTCTGGTGAACAGCTCGTATGGCAGTGGATACCCTGGCATCAGCGGTCGTGGTGTCGGCGGCCGCGGATTCCCCTTCTACTTCTGGCCCCTAATGTGGGGAGGGGGCATCGGGTACGGCTCAAATGCATACCTGCATTCAAACGAGGCAAGCACGCATTCATCCTTTCCACCATTCTGCCCTTTTAAATTTTGATTATTATGCAGTATGGCGAGCCGAACAATAACTCCCGCCCGGGCGGCGCCATGGCCTCGGCCGCCTTCCAGTCCAACTCCACCGGCACCGTGTTCCGCCTCGTCGCCGACAACAGCACCGTCTCCGACCTCATGGCCGACATCGCCGCCAACTGCTCCTCGCACCTCACCGCGCCCAACACCACCTTGCCGACGCCGTTCGACGCGAACGCCGCGCCGAAACCCGAGCAGGTCGTGCAGTACTACCGCGCGAGCTCCGTCGCGCTCAGCCTCGACGGGTACAACAACACCGCGGCGCTCATGGACGAGAACGCTGCTCCGGACGCGCCGCTACCCGCCGGGATCGACGCGGTGCTGTTAGACTGCTTGAACCAGACCGTGGGGCTCGGCGTCCCCCTCATCGATGGCGCGGCGGCGCTGTCGCCGCCGCATTTCGGGATACTCGCGTTGGTTTATCTCGTCTTGAAGCTTTCGGCGCTTTGACCCATGGAATTGATCTATCCATCCATCCACGATACCCTATACGTATGCTAATGTACTGTAACGATTTTTGTAATGAATTTATATCCGCGAATGACATCTATTATACAAAAGACGTTGGTTAGTCATAAATGTCAAAGACAAAGCACTGCCACAAACATCGGACAAACACAACGGCAACTGTTCAAAATGCAACTTCCACGACCTCCGGAGGCACAGGGACAACATCTAATATCCCTGTATATATGATACTGCTGGGGGACCATTTATTTGGGGCTGTACTACTCTGAGATGCACCCTAAGGTTTCATTGAGCAAATGACAGAACACTACCGAAAACATTGGGACAAACAGACCCCTGAATCAAATGAAGCCCAGCTTCCATGAGACGGAACAAGGAATGCAAGTACTTTATGCTTCAACAGCATCTGTGCACCTCCTTTAAATGCCTGAAATAGGTGACCCTGCAACAGTATATTATAAATCACAGCAAAATACAGTGACTTTGATTGAAACTGAGTCTGCAGAGGGCATCAGACTTTCGGAGGCCATTTTTTATACTTCACATGCCAAGGACATAGGACAACCCTAAGTGTAACTTTTTCCCCTCTCCACTGAGGCATTTGAGACAGGATAAAGAAAAAATCAGGCTTCTGGCTTACATGTCTAACTGAAGTGAGGGGTACAGACCCGGGGAACCGTTCCACAACGACACCAAAATGAACAGCGAATATATATATATATCTACACAAGACACTATATTTCAGGGACTTTCTGGGATACGGGACACGGGGATGCGAGGAACCAACCGAAGGTTGGTGATGAGTGTCCTTTGAAAAATAGACTTCTGAATCTGCAATAATTCTTCATAACACTGGATATCATGTTTCAACCCAAAAAAATATGATAGTAATCCGGACACCGTACTTCAGGGACACCTGGGATACGGGGATGCGAGGAACCAACCAAAGGTTGGTGACAGGCATCCTTTGAGGAAATGAATTCCTGAATCTAAGACAATATCTCCTACACCAGACATCATATTTTAAGGACTGCCAGGGACACGGGACGCGAGGAACCAACCAAAGGTTGGTGACGAGTGTCCATTTATTGCGGGCAGGAAAACTGCTCTTGAAACTGCTTCTGACTCCGGAGCCAGTACTCTCAGTACTTTGAATGTGGGAAAACATTAAAATGATTCGCACTCTGCGTGCGGAGCACGGGTTCCTGCTAGTTTAATTATGTTGAACATTTATTTATACGGCATGCTGATTTCATCTCGTCTGGTCGCTTTGATGTGTTGAATTGCCGACGCGTATGCCACGAATTTGCTATACTATCGTGCCCTATGGGTCTGAATCCTCCTGGGATTCGTCCGCACCGCGGGCTCTTTTAGCCGCCTCTTGATCATCTGCACGCTTTGATCGCCTTTTCAAGTTAAGGTCGAGGTTGACCATGTACATATAATCCGCAGGTTCATCATCAGAGTCGGCAGCATTCAGATATTTCCCCTCCCGGGAATGATTGCACCTTTTTTTTGGGTCATGTCCATGCTGAAATGTCTCCCACTTAACCAGGTTCAAATCAGGGCTATTAACTCGGATGTAGTGTATGGTGCATATCAGCCCTTCGTGTAGAAGATCCTTTCGCGATGCAAAAGCTGAACGACGGGGTTCGACTCCCCGCATCCGAATAACTGGGAACGACCGCGCTTTTCTTTTGGGTCATGTCCATGCTGAACTATCTCCCCACTTCCCCAACTCCAAATGGTAGCGAATAACTCGGATGTGGTGCATGGGGCACATCAGCTTCTCTTAAGGCCTTATAGTCCATATGCAAGCTGTGTTCATGCTCAAATTTCCCAGCTCCAAATGAAGGGTATTAACTTGGATGTGGTGTACGGTGCATGTCGGCTTCTCATGGAATATTGATTCCCTGCGCCTTTATAAATTCAAGCTGAAGGCCGGGTTCGACTCCCCGCATCCGAATAGCTGGGAGCGACTGCGCCTTGTTTTGGGGTCATGTCCATGCTGAAATATTCCCATTTACGCAGGTTCAAAGGATAAAGAAAAACTCGGATGTGGTGCACGGCGCACATTAAGAATGTTAAAACCCGGGGTTCGACTCCCCGTGTCCGAATAGATCTGCCTTGCTTTTCTTTTTGTCCATGGTGAAATAATGCCCACTTACCCAGCTTCAGATGAAGAGAAGTAAGTCGCATGTGGTGCACGGTATAGTTGAAACTGAAGCCGGGGTTTGAACATTTGACTCCCCGCATCCCGGGAATGCGTGGCTTCGACATTCACTTCTTTTTGGTGCTAACAGACTGCTACGTACCCAGCTACTTACCCAGGTTCAAAATGAAGGGAAGTAAGTCGGATGTGGTGCACGGTGCGCATCAGCTCATTATAATACTCTTTCTACTCCAAGCTGAAGACCGGGGTTCGACTCCCGGCATCCGAATAAGATGACAAGTAGAATTTTTTTTTGGCTTCTCTCCTGAGTTTGCGAAAATGCTGCTACTTGCCCAGGTTTCAACGAAGATAATATCTCAGATGTGGTGTAGGGCGCACACCAGCTCTTTGTGGGTCGGCGGTTAAAATGCTTAGACCTCAAAGCCGGGGTTCGACTCCCCGCATCTGAATAACAGGGTTGGTAGATGTCTTTTACCATTTTTTTGGGTCATGTCCACAATTCACCCAGGTTCAGGTGTCTGGTCATCTTGATTCATTTACCATGCCGAAAACGGGGTTCGACTCCCTGCGCCCGAATGAGTGGTTGGCTACATTCTTTTCTTTCTGGTGCTAAAGATTTTCCCACTTACCCAACTGTAGCGTACATTTGGACGTTGTGTAAGTACTTGCTTGATCCTTTTAGGGACCACCGCAGTAGTACATCCTCCTCCTCTCTCCCCCTCCAACTCCAAATGATACAGCATAATTCGGATGTGGTGCACGGTGCACGTCAACTCCCAGTATATGTTTGGTGATGAATCCAGATGGTTTCAAGCTGAACGCCGGGGTTCGACTCCCCGCGTCCGAATTATCTGGTAACCTTATTTTGCCACACTCACGTTGAAATGGCACATTTACCCAGCTTAACAAGGTATTAAATAACTCGGATGTGGTACACAGTGCACATCAGCTTCTCATTATCTGATCCGATGATACTGCAGGCTGAAGCGCTGAAGACCGGGGTTCGACTCCCCGCATCCAAATGGTTCATCGAATCTATAGAAGATCCTTTTTTTCTTCTCTCCCGAGTCCATGCGGAATATCTCCACCTACCCAGCTTAAAATGAAGGGAAGTAACTCGGATGTGGTGCGCGGTGTACGTCCTAAGTAATTCGCTGTGTTGCAGGCTGAATCTCGGGGTTCGACTCCCCCAATCCGAATGAGTGCTACCCGTAAGCTTTTTTGCTTTTTGTTGAAAACTCTGAAATATCTTCTATCTACTGCTCGCCGAGCCCGAAAACAAATGTGGTACCCCAAAAACTTTCCGTCCGTGCCGGTTGCACTTAGAACGTTCGGAATATTCATTTGATAAATAGTCACAAAAAATGTACCCTAAGCAAAACTAGGGTTAGTGGCGCTCCTTGCAGCTGCTAGACCGCACTTGGACCGTTGTCGATGAAAGTGATAGATAGATGATCAAAGACGCGCGGAAATAGATGTAGTTAAGAAGAATATTAATAGGTGAGTTTGAAGGAAGAAATGAGGACGCACTTCGATTACACTTTTAAAGCGCTCTCGGATTTGCCAGAGGTGTCCTGAGCGGGGCGCCAAAATCGCGCCAAGTTGTCCGGAATCGCACGAGATTTTGAATCCAGCGCGAATTTTGAGGTGCCCCTGAAGCGGTAACAAATCACAAAATTAACGCGCCAAGTTCGCATGAAAGTGCACAAGATCGGCGGCCTAGAATTCTGAATTCCAGATCCAACGCAGATTTCCAAGGCGGGAAAGCGGGGCAATTTGAGTCAGAGGTTGTACACCTGCGAAGCGAGAAGAAACATCGGAAATAAAATACGAAGTCGGTAGAATGACGGGTTCGATTGGCGGGAAGCCGCGGGATTGATTTAAATTCCTGTAATTGGAAATCCTCGGTTTCACGCTGCCTTTTGTGGCCGGAGGTCGCGGGAAGGACAACAAATAGGCTGCGAGGCGGGCAAAAAAGAAAGAAAAAGCGCGCAAAGTCGGCGCCAGATCGGTAGAGTCGGTGACGAGAAGTCCCTAGTGTGATTTGAAAGTTCGATTCGAGGCAGGAAGGTGAAAAATGAAGTTTGAGTCTTTTGAAGCGGGTCTTCGCAGACCTTCAGGAAAAACCGAGTTTGTGATGTGCTTGGAGGAAGTCGCGGCAAAGCGGGAGCTTGAATTGATATTTGTAGTCGTGCAAGTTGCGGGTTTGAGCCGACATTGATGCGGGAACTGGAGAAAGCGGGTGCGTCGATCTCGGGAGAGCGATATCTTTATTTAGAAATGCGTGGGCTGAGAACCCGCAATAGGTTGCGTGCTTTGGGGAGATCAAGTTAACAGAACAGGAAATGCTTCGTAGGTGGTGGAAAGCCCGTAGCTTGATCTGGCATTTCGTGGCGCTAGAGACGCGGTATTGTGCAGGGTGCACATCAGCTACAACTGCAGCTCAATCACCATGTAAACTGAAAACGAGGGGTTCGACTCCCTGCATCCGAATTATTGTGATTTGGGTCATCCATTTTTGCCACATTCATGTTGAAATACCGCATTTACCTAGCTTCAGAAGGTATTGAATAACTCGGATGTGGTGCACGGTGCACATCGGCTTCTTGTAGATCGCGTCATATGTGTAAGCTGAAGAGCGGGGTTCGACTCCCTGCATCCGAATGGACTGGAAGTGGCTGGGTTTTTTTTTTGAGCCGTGTCGTGTCAATGCTCCGATTTCCTAGCTTCAAATGAAGGGTATTAACTCGGATGTGGTGTACGGCGCACAGCAGTTACTGTTAATGAATTAAACATGTTGCAGGCTGAAGACCGGGGTTCGACTTCCCGCGTCCGAATGTGGAATGAACAATAATGAGTCCATGCTTTTTTTTTGGTGCTAAAATGCTGCTACGTACCCAGTCTCAGAAGGTAGAGAAGAACTCGGATGTGGTGCATGGGGCACATCAACTTCTCTTAATGCCTTACAGTCCATGTGCAGGCTGAACAACGGGGTTTGACTCGCTGCGTCCGAATGAGTGGTAGTGACTGGATTTCTTTTTTGGGCCGTGTCGTGTCCATGTTCCAATTTCCCAGCTCCAAATGAAGGGTATTAGCTCGGATGTAGTACATTAACTGCCATTTCTGGCAATATTCATCACTGGAATGTTACATAAAACCCGGGGTTCGACTCCCCGCATCTGAATAAGCGGGCAAATTGCAACTTGTTGTTTTTTTTTGCTTCTTTTGTGCCGGAATATTTATCTAGGGTCTACCGTGGGGCACGGCGGAACCTGTGGGATCTACGAGCTCGCTGTCTATGGTGGCGGAAGGAAGTCCAGGGACGATGGTGTATTTTACGCTTGCTTGCACACCGGGAAAATTCCTGGAAACCGGCGTTCGTTATTCGGACCGTGCCGTGTAATGCTACTTACCTACCTACCTACCCATTTACCCAGGTTCAATAGATAAAATAAAAATTTGGATGTAGTGCAAGGAGCACATCAGCTCCCTGTTGGCGAAACACATATGAATCTGAAAGCTGAAGCCTGGGGTTCGATTCCCCGCTAGTTTCTCACAGACAGACAATTTAACAAATGAAGCTCGTACCTCGCTTGTTAAAGTTCCCCACATCCGAATAACGCCTCTTGGACGTTCCTTTTTTTAGGGCATGTTGACGCAGAAATACCTCTCACTTCCCCAACTCCAAATGAGAAATATTAACTCGGATGTGGTGCATGGTGCACATCAGCGGCCATTAGGATGGCCTCATATTAATACATAGGTGTAAGCTGAAGAACGGGGTTCGACTCCCCGCATCCGAATAAGATGGCGAGCGCCGTATTTTTGTCATCTTCTCTCCTGAGTTCGCGAAAATGCTGCTACTTACCCAGGTTTCAATGATAAAAAATATCTCAGATGTGGTGTATGGTGCAGACCGGCTCCTTATTGATTGTCTTTCAAGAAGCTTAGAGCTGAAAGCCGGGGTTCAACTCCCCGAATCTGAATAACACTCTTACGAGATGACTTTGCCATTTTTTTGGGTCATGTCCATGCTAAAATACCGCATTTACCCAGGTTCAGAAGGTATTGAATATCTTGAGTGTGGTGTACGGTGTACGGTGTACCTCGGCTGCAGCTGGATCTGATCCATGTTTGTAATGCTGAAAACCCGGGTTCGACTCCCCGTGTCCGAACACGGTGGATGTTTTTTTTATGAAAAACATACTCATGCTCAAATACCATCCACTTTCCCAGCTTCAAATGAAGGCTAACAACTCGGATGGAGTGCAGGGTCGTTTAAAGTGAAGAACGGGGTTTGACTCCCCGCATTTGAATAAAACCTCATCCATAACACATAGAAGAGGTGAATGTGGGAGTATTTCAACATCGAAAAAAGCAAATAAGGAAAATATATTTGGATGCGGGGAGTCGAACCCGGTCTTCAGCCTGACCATGGTTTGAAATACACGATGAGATGATGTGCACTGTGCACCACATCCGAGATATCCCATACCCTTTGAAGCTGGGTAAGTAGGATTATTTTAGCATGGATGTGGCAAAAAAACGAATTGTAAGACTATGTTATGGATCACCCCATTTACTCTAGACACACCCAGACTTCGTGGGCTGAACATTTAACCCCCTACCTCTCACGCCTACCCTATACACTACAAGGCTACGATCCTCGCCTAACCCCCACTAATCTATTGCTTCCACTCAGGGGCACCGCGACTTAGTACAGCTTAGTACATAGTTTATTTCTTGCGGTATACAAATGCAGAGGCCACAAAAAAAAAAAAAAATCTTTCACATGGAAGACAGTAAACAAAAGATATGACCATTCTAGATTCCCAGGTGGATAAATGGTACCCATCGCTCATGTGGCACTCCGGCATCCCGCATCTTTCGAACAGCAAGCTGCAGTGCTTTTGCAGCCTCAGATGCTTGAGGCCTTTTTCCACTGCCCAATAAATGGCTGTAAACAGTTTCTGCGACAACTGGCCCATCTTCATCCATCATGGACCACATAGTGGCAATAGCTCCTTGAAATCCTGCAGCAATGAAACCACCACCCAAGTGGAAAGACTCATTCACCAGTGCAGTATCTCCTTTTGCTGTCTGGCATGCAGCAAGGAATACAAATTCGGCATTTGGCAGGGACATCTGGAGAATGGTCTCGAGCTCCAAAGTTCCACCATAGAGCTGGAGGCAGCTTTTTGGAGGCTCTATGATGTTCTGCTCTCCATGACAAGCTAGGTGGATCCAAGCACAATCATTCAGTGCCTGCTTGACTGAATCTACTATGGCGTTTTCGCCAATGAGACTTTGAACCTGGTATTGGTCCCTAGCAATGGAGCAAATCTTGGTGATTTCTTCTTGAACTCCAGGGAGTTCTTGGTCTCTTCGGGGACCAGTGTGGGTCACACCAACCAGGCCAATGCAGGGTGGATCGGTTGAAGGTGTCTTGGAGTTCGCTTCTAGGAGAGCCCCCAGTGTGGGTGTATAGGACTGTATGAATTGATCTGCAGAGTCCGCAGCATGCAAAGGGAAGCCGGTGAAATCTCCTGTAGGACACCACCATAATCTACCAGAAGTGATACCATTCTGGCAAAAGGTGAATAATGTATTTGACAAGATGAGCAGAACTTACAGCACATAGGGCAATGTAGATTGGCTGCACAATACAAGTCCAGACCCAGCTTAAGAAGCCTTCCAGGCCCATTTCTATCCCTTCTTGATATCCATAAAGACGGGCCTGTGGTAGTTGCCTGGATCTCACATTTCGCCCTTTGATCAGATCTCTGAGGAGACTTTTTTGTGCTTTTAGCCTGTCGACAGTCACTCTTGGCAGTGCAATGTGCAGTGGATTTGAGGTTGGATTGAAGAGGATAATTGAGTCACAGTGATCACAATGGGAGTTGAGAATAACAATAGGCCCATGTTGGGATACTTGACACAGATCTGTGTATGGTTTGGGGCGCGAAAAGTTTTCAAGGCTTAGATGATTTCGAATCTCATTAACCAATGTATTTCGATCTGCAGCAACCCTCTGTGGATGCTCAGCTTTTCCACTATAGAGGTCTACAGACAGGAGTTTCAACTTTGCTGCCTCCTCTTGGGGCAAAAAGTCAAGGTTGGTTTTCAGTTGCAGTAGCTGTTGGAATGTGGTTCCCAACCCTTGTTCAAGGAGCTCGATTGCAAGTGGGAGATTTAAAGAGTCAATGCAGGCACTAATGGCATCAGAGGTTGTTTGGGAAACATTGATTCTCATGTTTACGTCTTGACGGACTGATACAGTGCTTCCAATCCAGAGGATCTCGGGTAATAGATGGAAGGCAGCAGAATAGGCTTTTAAGACATCAGAAGGTCTGTGGACTTTTGCAAAGGAAGCCCAGTAGAGGGCTGAGTGCCACGATGTTACAGGATCTGAGGTGTTGCCTTGAAAAGAGTTGCTGTAATTGAATAGGACAGCATCGAGGTCCTGCACATCACCTGATCGTTGATATCGATCTGTGAACGATGCTGCCAGACTCTGGAGATGCCGAGCCAAGTCTGGATGCCCCTTGGGTGTCTGCTCCACAGCAGCCTGATTGTTCTGCAGTGCAGCCTCAAGGTCCTTCACATCACTTGATATTCAATATCGCTCTGTGAATGAGCCTGCCAGATTCTGGAGATGCCCAGCCAGGGCTGGATTCCCCTCAGGTGTCTGTGCCACCGCAGCCTGATCATTCTGCAGTGCAGCCTCAAGGTCCTTCACATCACCTGATCTTCGATATCGGGCTGTGAATGATACCGCCAGACTCTGGCAACGCCCAGCCAGGTCTGGATGCCCCTCAGGTGTCAGCTCCACAGCAGCCTGGTTGTTCTGTAGTGCAGCCTTGAGGTCCTTCACATCACCTGATCTTTGATATTGGTCTGAGAATGATATTGCCAAATTGTGGAGACATCCAGCCAGGTCTGGATGTCCCTTAGGTGTCTGTGCCACTGCAGCCTGGTCATTCTGCAGTGCAGCATTGAGATCCTCCACATCACCTGATCTTCTATATTTGTCCGTGAATGATATTGCCAGATTCTGGAGATGTCCAGCCAGGTCTGGATGCCCCTCAGGTGTCTGTGCCACAGCAGCCTGATTGTTCTGCAGTGCAGCCTCGAGGTCCGTCACATCACCTGAGCTTCTATATTGGTCAGTGAATGATATTGCCAGATTCTGAAGATGTCCAGCCAGCTCTGGATGCCCCTCAGGTGTCTGTGCCACAGCAACCTGATTGTTCTGCAGTGCAGCCTCGAGGTCCCTCACATTGCCTGATCTTCTATATTGGTTGGTGAATGATATTGCCAGATTCTGAAGATGTCCAGCCAGGTCTGGATGCCCCTCAGGTGTTTGTGTCACAGCAGCCTGATTGTTCTGCAGTGCAGCTTTGAGGTCCTTCATATCACCTGATCTTCTATATTGGTCCGTGAATGATATTGCCAGACTCTGAAGACGCCCAGGCAAGTCTGGATGCCCTTCAGGGGTTTGTGCCACAGCAGCCTGATTGTTCTGCAGTGCAGCCTCAAGGTCCTTGACATCACCTGATCTTCGATATCGGTCTCTGAATGATACTGCCAGACTCTGGCAACATCCAGCCAGGTCTGGATGCCCCTTGGGTGTCTGTTCCACAGCAGCCTGGGTATTCTGCAGT